GGAAATGGCCTATCCAATATTATGATTTATTTTGAAGGACAACGAAAAAAGGAAGGGGGAAAATGTTAGGAAACTGAGCAGCACACAACAGTGCCAAACAGCTGGCTGACTTCTATCCCAGAGACAGCTTGGAGCTGACACCACTCACAAGATCTCTTGGCAGGCAAACTTGATGGAAATACCAAAACTGTGAGGAGAAATGTTCTTTTGCTGAATATTTGATGGTGCTATCAAATGGTTGATGAATCTAAATGAGAAACATGTACACCTCTTTTTCAAAAAATTCTTCATGTGTTTAAGCGAGGAATTTACACACTACTTACGTAGCACCAATGGGTTCACCACGGTGTTAAACACCAAGGAAACCATAATGATTCACAGAAATTTAATCCTAGACAGGTATAATTTCCTTTTCTTTAAAATAATATTTTAAGATTCATCGAGGAAGGATGTCAAAGAAATTGAGCATAAATCCAAGGTCATTGGTGACATTTTTAGGTGCCAAAATTAATATCTAAGAGAAACTACTTTTCTTAGCTTAATAGCTTCATGCATCTATTTATTCATTTTTTAATATTTAATTGTTAGGCAGTAGAGACAGCTTAATTTCAGACATATTTTTGGCTCAGTTGCTAAATATCAGAATTGTGGAGTATGCAAGACCTGCCTTACTCTCAGCATTTGCTATGTTACAGGGCACTTAGTATTTCAAGATGAGTATTTTAGGAAAACTTGCATTCTTTCATTTTCTGATGTATTAAATGAATTTATTCTTCACTAGCATCCAACTTTGTTCAATTAGCTGGAAAATTTTGTATTCTGATTATGAGGCCTTTGAGTCTATTCTTTGTGACATTAGCCTTGGTTTGTCACCTCAGCTTGCTGTTTTCCTCTAGTGACCCAAGTAGCTTATTGACAGTTAGCTTGTAAAAGGCTCACTAGGATTGTCTAACTGCAAGATACTGGGAATGGACATACAGAGCATCATTCCTCATCCAAAAATGTCATTAAGGCACATTATGTGTCATCTTGCAAACGTGTGGTGACCTCAGGCCTCAGCTTCCCAGTCTGAGTACAGCCTGTCCTATATCTACACATCTCCCCTCTGTCACAGAATCCCCTTTCTAATATCCCTGTCTTTCCAGCCCCCTGCACATGCATGCATAGCCAGGTTCCCATGTGTACTTTCAACTCAAGACCTGCCTCTGAATTTTCATTTACTTAACGATTTTGATTTAGTTAAACTTATTCCATAGGGAATGGTAAGTTTGATGGTTGCACAGAATTCAGAATACATAATTTATAAAACTGATCTCACAGTGGTGGATATTCGGTTATTTCTAATGTCTGACAATGAACTGCAAATGCTGCAAGAATACCATTGACTTTGTTCATTCAAACTATTATATAACACAGCTCCATACACTGCATCAGGGAGCCAGGATGGCTTCGTTTAGAACTGTCAGTGGGTATTGTCTTCCTCTGCTGTAGATTGTTAACTTCCTCCTCTGCTTAGACACTAATGCCATTCATTAGCGTTCCACCCCACAACTGCATTACCTCCCAGACACCCACTTCTGAATTCTGTCACATTGGGCTTAAGGGTTCGATATGTAAATTTGGAAGAGGGAACTGAAGCATGCATTGCCTTGTAGCATTCAGTCTCTACATATTACACTGCCAACATTATTTTCTATCTATAGGATAATTCCCAGATATAGAATAGCGAGGTCAAATTTTTCATGCTTTTCTTAGTTTCATAATTGTTGCCGAATTAATTTCAGTTGATGTTTGTCTTAGTACATTCATACCCATCTGTGTAGGAGATATTTGTAATGTGTTTATTGTTGCCATCAGAGAAAATGATCAAAGTTCTCAAGTATACTCAAACAAAAATGGAATAAGCTCATCAACATGCTTTTTTTGCTGTGCTACAATTATACTCTATTTATAAAAGTAAACAGTGGTCTATATTTGGTTACTGTCCACAGCTTTGGATATTGTTCTAAGAGAACATAGAACCTTTTTTTCTCATTTTTTTTGGTACTGGGGTTTGAACCCAGGGCCTTCATACTGAGCTACAGCCCCAGCTTTATCCTCCTTTTGATTCTAAGGCAGAGTCTTGCTAAATCACTCAATTTCCCAGGCTGGTCTTGAACTTGCAACTCTCCTGTCTCAGCTTCCCAGAGTGCTGGAATTACAGATGTATGTGCCACCATGCCCAGTGGCATGTGAACTGTTAAAGCAGATAGACTCACAATTTCTTCTTAAAGACAGATTCCATTATTACTAAATGAAAAAAACAAACAAACAAAGCCCCCAAAACTTAATTATCTGTCTTTTCCATTTAGAGAAGTGTCTACTGCATGATTCTTGCTAGTAACATTACGGCTCCTTCCAGGCCAGAGGCACGTGGGCTAGCACATGCTCCACAGTTAAGCTGCATCAATGCTGGCTCTTGCTTGTTTGGCATGGAGATTCAATATGTTGTCCAGGCTGGACTCAAGCAATCCTTTTGCCTCAACTGCCAGAGTAGTTGGGCTGATACCCATGTGCCACCCTTCCCAGCTCCAATTCTGAATCCCTCTTATATATTTCTTAGTAAAAATGAAAACCAGGTGAAACTACCTCCCCATGAAACACTGAGACAGAACATGGTTCATGGACGCAAATGTAAGCAACTGCTGTCAAGTCTGACCTTTGCCTTTCTTCTGCTTATTTGCCTACTGTTGTCCTTTGGCTTCCAGAACAGGTTTCTGTGGGTCTTTTTTGTCTGTGCCACTTGATATTTGGGGGCTGTTGGTTTTCTGGTACCTGGCTTGCATATACAGGGTAAAAAGAAAACCTAGATAAGTCACCACCATGTCATTTCTCAAGTTTCAAATTCCTATCTAGTTGCTAGCTTTTCTCCATCTAACATGGTTTCACAGGCTTATTTTAGAAATACTACCCAGATATTATTTATGTTCTTGTTTTATACAATATATTAGATATATTTGTCTGTTTTACATATCTAATATATATATATATATATATATATATTAGCATAATTTATTTATTTATTTATATTTTAGGGAAGGGTCTACAGGGTGTTCAGGGTCTCACTACTAGATCAGACTCATAGTGATCCACCTGTTTACAACCTCCCAAGAGATGGGATTACAGGCACAGGCCACCATGCCCAGTCTCAATTGCTGTCTCAGTGTACCCCAGGGGCGGGGATGGCAAGGCAGGCCCTAGGGATCAAACTCCCAGCTCCTTTCCCTACTTGCAGGCACTTTAATCTGCTGAGATATTTGCTCCTGCTAGACAAGCAGACTTACCACTGGCCTACATCTTTAATCATCAACATGCTTTTAATCAATATTTATGAGTGAGTTTCAATATTTTGCCAATTGTTTAAGTCATTTTTATTTCTTTCAGTAGAACCTCTAGATCATTTTGTCCATTTTTATGGTATGTTTTTGGTCTTTTTCCTTGTTGCTTTGTAAGAATCCTTTATGCATGGAGACATGTTGCCTTTATTAAGAGTTTCTTTTCATGTTATCCAGCAGTTAATCTTTAACTAGAATTTTCTCTTCTTGAGCTAACCCTATGCATACTTCCTCTTCCTCTAGAGAGAAGTTCCTTGGCATTGTCTCCATTTTTACATGGAAAGTGGTCTGATTAGGTTGTAAATTTTCCTGGTGCTAAATTACTTTCTTAAACAATTCTCTGTTTCATCCAAGCTTAATCTACTTTCTTCTAATATTTTTTCATAGAATGTGTCATGGCCTTGGTAAATTTTTTGTCTTCATGGTCTATCAATTACTAAAAAATAAATGAATCACAAAATGAAAAAATAGGGGCTGGGGCAATGGTTCAGTGGAATAAGAGCTTCCCTGGCAAGCATAAGGGCCTGACTTCAATCCCTCATTCAAAAAAAAAAAAAAAAAACGAAGAAAGAAAGAAAGAAAGAAAGAAAGAAAGAAAGAAAGAAAGAAAGAAAGAAAAAATAGGGCTATGGAGATAGTTCAGCAGCCTAAGTGCCTGCCTAGGCAAGCACAAGGACCCGGATTCAATCCCTGGTACTGCATGCCATGCTGGCCCCGCCTTGGGTGCCCTGAGCCAGCCATGAAGACTGGGCCTGGTGGTGCATGCTGTAATCCCAGCTCTGGGAAGGCTGAGACAGGAGAATCACTGCAAGTCCAATCTGTGCAATGATAGCCTGAACCACAAAAAGTATTTTTTTTAAAAAAGAGGGCATGATAAAATAGCCATTTATGTGAAAATAAAATAAAATATATATATATATATATATATATATATATTTCTTATTGTAAGCATAGATTTGTCTGATTTTCCTCCAACTTTATAAATCTGTGCTTCTTATATTTTAATAGAAATGAATTTAGATATAAATATAGATGTAGATATAGATGTAGCATAGCTATTGATATGTAGATACAAAGAAACGATTTCAAGTTCAGAATAACTTTGATTTCTCTTTCTGGCAAATATTTTTCTTACTCCACATCAGATTGTTCGATAATTTAAGGCACAAGAATTTTGTGGAAAAAGTAATTGATTTAAGAATTTATGGAAGTCTAGGAAAGGGCAAGATGACCCACCGCCTTGCAGAAGCAAATGTCGGTGATTATGAGACACAGGGCTTGGGTGAAGCTCGGTGGTGGAGCGCCTGCTGAGAGCCCCAGCGCGGCACTGCCACATTAATTAATATGAAAAGCTCTCTGCTTTCTATGGGTTTAAAAACAATTAGAATATGGAGACCATCTAAGACACATGCAGAGAAGCTGCATACCTGTGTGTGAAGTGGATCATGACCTACCTCATTCACTGCACTGTTCTCGGGGGAGTAAACAGGGCAAGTGCCACGATCGGGAGAACAGGAACTCAGCCTTATTTTTCTAAGAAAAACCAAACGGCACCAGGTACTTAATTTTTTTTAAATAAAATAAAATAATATTTTAAACGTCAAAACCGTGTTCCGCGTTGTGCAGATTCACATTTCTTTGATCAATGGGAGACCCAGTGCTGACGATCCCTCTCCGGAACTGCTGGACTTCACCTCTGCCCGGTACATTCGTCTGCGGCTGCAGAGGATTCGCACCCTGAACGCCGACCTGATGATGTTCGCGCACAAAGATCCGAGAGAGATCGACCCCATTGTCACCAGAAGGGTAAGTCGTGGATCGCAGGCGAGCTTATGAGTGAAACGACACCCACCCTTTTATTTATCTGTTAAGGAACTGACCAAAAAAATCCTCTCAGTGATTTGTAAGAATGGCAATTATGGAAGAATTTAAAACTCAGTAGACCTTCCTTTGTTTAAATCTGACCTCTGCCACTTATTTTATTTTATTTATTTTTCTTTTTGCGGAACCGGGGATTGAACTCAGGCCCTTGCACTTGCCAGGGAAGTGCTTATTCCACTGAGCCATCTCCCCGGCCCACTGCCGCTTACTGAGTGTGTGCTTTTATCAAACTTTTGAATATTATTTTTACTTTAGTTTCCTCTTTTGTAAAACGAAAGTCACATTATCCAGCTCGTAACTTTTTAAGGACATTACTTTTCATCATGTTAGATGATCTGTACTAGTATGATAGTTGGTGCTGCGAAGATATTACTAAAAGGCAAGGCTTTCAATGTTTTGGGCCACAACTCACATTAAGAAATTCATTTTATATCATGTGCACACACACATATACACATAGTTACATCGTAAACTTGCATGTACATAGAATAAGCAGATGTTCTTGTAAAAATACAGATTTTAATTTAGTAGTTCTAAGGGAAGGCTCACACCATGAAATTCTAGAAAGTTCTATAAAGTGTTCTGATGTCAACATGGCTGGCCTATGGGCCACTTTGTTTCATCAAATAATTTCATTCTGTTTCATTCATTAATCATGAGCCATAGTCCATACCACAGTAGGGAAAAAATGCTTCTACGTACCGCTTCATTTTTCTTTAAAAATGAGATAATACGTATTACTTACAAAGCTACCACAATTTATGGAGGTAAAAGTAGAGTTATTTATTATAACAAAAGTTTAAGCTGTACTTCTGTTGATTACTTACTTTGCAGAATGCAAAACCAAATTTATTTCCAGAAAGAATTACTCTTTTATTTGTAGCTTTTTTTTTGAAAAATTATAAATAATTTAACATTCTTTAATATCCTCTTACCCTGTTAAATCTGGGGTAGAAGAAATTTTCTCCCCAAAGGGTTCCATTTTTGCTCTCTTTTCAACACTTGTAGAAATCCAGTTATAAATTCTAACAGTTTACTGCCTCCTGTGTCAGCCCTGGAGTGGTTGATTGCTAATAATAAAATCTGTTACTCTTTTCCCTTGGTAACATGTAATTGCTGTGCCTTTGACAAAAAAGTTTGGTCTGAAAAATGTGAAAGATAACTTAAACTGCAGCCCATTACAAGAGTAATCTCGTGTCAGCTTACCTTCACTTCAGAACTATGGGGATACCATAATACATAGTAAATAATTGGATGCAACCTTTCTACCAAATGTTGCAGGGGCGTATTGATCTTGATGTTTCTTAGCACGAGGATGTGATGTTCCTTCTGCTGTCTCATAGTTTGTGAGGTTTCTGTTTTTCTTTTTAGATAACAAAACAGAACTAGAAATGTAGATACATGTTTGAACCAAGAGGTTCTTTTATCATATTCCTAAATTTCCATTTCTATTTTTTTCTTTCAGAAGTATTTTTCCCTGCTGAATAGAAAAGGACTCTTATTTTTTATCTTCATATACTTAAAAAGTATGAACATTATGTTTCACTGGACTGTATTATGGATCTTCTGGTGAAAACTTTTTCTATGTACACAATATCCTTCTTCAGTTATGTTATAAATTTATTTC